ACTACCCTGCTGCCGCCCTACCCCTACCTCTGGCCAGTGACACCTCTCCTTCGGTAGTCGTCCCTGCTGCATCACGTCCCCACGCCTTGGCTCGCCTTCACGACAGTCACCATGGAGCTGAGGCCACCAAACGACGTGCACGACAGACTGTGTTCCGGCCTGGCATCGACCCCGACATCTCCAATGCTGTCCAGGTGTGTAAGCCCCGCCACGTATTACAACCCAGCCAGCAGCAGGTACCCTTCATGAGTGACGACAACCCCACCCGCCCCTTTGAGTCTGTGTCGGCCGACTTTTTCTGTGTGTCAGGAAAGTCCTTCCTGGTTATCGTCGACCGTCTCTCTGGTTGGCCGGTTGTCATCAAGGGCGGTAATGACACGACGTCTGCCGCCACCATCAGCAAGTTCCGCCACTACTTCCGTGACGTGGGCGTTCCTGTACGCCTGCGAACCGACGGAGGGCCTCAGTTCACAAGCCGGGACTTTGCTGCGTTCCTTGACCGATGGGGAGTCCGGCATGTGTTGTCATCGCCCCATTACCCGCAGTCCAACGGCCACGCTGAGGCTGCTGTCAAATCTTTGAAGCACCTCATCCTTAAGGTGGCCCCTTTTGGGAATATTGACTGCGAGGCCTTCGACCGGGGTCTTCTTGAACTCCGCAACACACCTAACTACACCGGACGCTCCCCTGCCCAGGTTTTGTATGGACGCCCCCTTCGTTCTTGTGTCCCTGCTCACCCTCAATCCTTCTCCAAGGAGTGGCAGGCCAAGACAGAGGATTGTGATCGCCGAGCCGCCGAACGTGTTCAGGACGTCGTCGCCCGCTACAACGACCACGCCAGTTCTCTCCCCAGGTTGAGTGTCGGCACCCAAGTCCGTGTTCAGGACCCGACCTCCCTACGTTGGGACAAAGTAGGCGTAGTCATGGGTCTCGGCAGGTCACGGGACTACCAGGTGCGGTTACCCAGTGGTCGTGTGTGGTGGAGGAACCGCCGTTTTCTCCGCCCCGTAACAATGCCTTCTGACCCCGCCACCAGTGTTGAGTCCCATACCCTTCCCAGTGATGAAGTCCCTCGACGCTCAGAACGGATCCAGAAGAAAAGGTCCGCTCAAGACTTTGCTATGAGCGTATAGGGGGAAGGGAGGTGTATGTATATTATGTATGCTGGATTATGTATTATGTATGTATATTATGTATGTGCTCCATTTATATTTATTCAGCCTAGCTAGCAGCGTGTGGCAATGTTATTACCATATCCCACACGCTTAATTAATGTGCCTGGCGACGTATGGAAGCTGCTAATGTATCACTTGCCATACGTCGTCTATGGTAGTTGACCAAGAGCTTAGCTAGGGAGCAGTGCTACCCACCTCTGTGTACATACTCTTATCCAGTAAACCGAACCTACAAAACTATACAGGTGTTTGTATTCTCTCCTGTATATAGAACTTATTACCCAGAACACCTAACAAAAGGTATAATATATTACGGAACAACAAAGCCCAACCATTAATTAACGGGGAGCTAAGTAACCAATCACCGATCACTTTTACATTCATTCATAATATTTACTACTTAGTATAGTAAACAAACGGCCTTGAGTTGCCAGCTGTCTCCAGCAGTGTTCGAAGAATCTTGAACGAGACTGTACCTGGGTGTAGTACATCGTCTGCTACACATACAACTGATCAATCAAAGAAAAGTGATGAAATTAAACGGCATGATATTCAGTACATTGAAACTGGCCCTGGGAAATTGAGAAGACCAATATCACAGGAACTTCTAATTTACTGGTCAAAGGCTGGACCAGGTACTTGCAGCATCATGACTGAGTTTAAAGGAACACTAAGAGCGTATGGTTCAGGTGAGCATCAGAAACGCCGTTTCCTCTCTAAGTCTGCATTCTTCATAACTTTGAGTAATGGCAAACTAGTAAAGAGAGAATGGTTTCTCTTCTCTAAATCACAAGGTAAACTTTACTATTTCACATGTTTGCTTTTCTCCAGTACATCTACAAGTTCACCATTTGAGCAGGGTTTCAATGACTGGGCACACACCAGCAGAATTCTTGGGGAACACGAATGTTCAGTGGATCACAGAAAAACAACTTTAGCCTATGTACCGCGATCAAAAATCGGTTATTGTATTGGCAGTGGACTCCGTCATCAAACTGAAAATGAGAGGAAATATTGGCATTCATTACTTTTACGTTTGGTAGAAGTAATAAAGTTTTTGAGTGAGCTTGGATTAGCGTTCAGAGGATCTGATCAAGTCATAGGATCACCCATAAAGGTAACTTCCTAGGTATTCTTGTACTAATGAGCAAGTTTGATCCATTTCTGGCTGATCACATTTCACGGATTGGAAATAAAAGCAAAGGAAATCCAAGTTACTTGAGCTCCACCATTTGTGATGAACTTATTTTGGTAATGGGAAAAAAGGTTTTGTCAACTGTTTGCAAAGAGATTCAGAGTGCAAAATACTACTCCTTATGTTTAGATTCTACACCCGATATTTCAAGAACTGACCAACTTGCATTCACTATTCGGTATGTTTCTTCGTCTGGTGAACCAGTGAATCGTTTTTTGCTTAACCTTCCCATCAGTAGTCACACAGGAGAAAATATGCGTGATAAGGTCCTGGACACATTGAATGAATTGAACATTGATATTCAAAATTGTCTTGGACAATCATACGATAATGCTGCCAATAGGAAATATGGTCTCCAAAGAAAAATCAAAGATGTAAATAATCTCATTGATTATGTACCGTGTGCTGCCCATTCACTGAACCTGGTAGAAGTATACATAGTTTTTTTTTGCGGGGATTAGCCCACCCGAGCACAGGTCACTGACCCACATCGTAAATAAAATTTATATTAAAAAATATAAATAAATTAATAATGATACTAATAATAATAATAATTGTAATAATAATAATGATAATTATAATAATAATAATAATAGTAATAGAGAACCATAAATACAAAAATGAAAAAAAAAAGATCAAAGTGAGAAACAATATATGTATGTTGTGTTGTCAATGGTAAGAGAAACAATTGAGACCCTGCAATTGTGCGTAAATGAGGCAGAAAGTCAGATCAGCAACCTGGACTTGGTCACAATTTTCGTGATGCCATATGGCAGCAGGGTCTACCATTAGACAATACATTATGCTTCCAATATCTTCCCAGGCGGTAGTACCTCCCTGTTTGGTAGCTTCCTACTACCTACTACCTGGCTGTTAAGACATAAAAATTTTTGATTTGCTGAACAAACTTTATGCTTTCTGCGCAGGATCAACACATCGTTGGGCTATCTTGACAAATGGTTTCACTCCAAATGAAAACAGCAAGATTTAACTTTAAAACGCTTGTCAACTACGCGATGGTCTTGCCATGCTGAGGCTCCAAAAGCATTGTTCCTGAACTACAAAAGCCTATATGAAAACCTGAAAGATTTTGTGGCTAATGATGATGAACCTGAATCTATGAGGTCAGAGGCAAATGGATGAATTGCTGGCCTGGAAAAGCTTGAAACAGGTTTCATGGTAAAAATGTGTAATAGAATACTTATTCGGTTCAATAAAGTGAGCCTAACTCGGCAAAAGGAAAGTGTGGATTTCCTGACAGCCACATCATTGCTTGAGTCTTTAGAGGAGTTCACTGAGAAACTGCGTGAAAAATTTGACGAGATTGAAGATGATGCAAAGAACACCATGCCATGCATAAACCATCATTATCAATATGAAGAAAAACGTCAGAGAAAACGAAAGAGATATTTTGATGAAAGTAAATCACCAGATGAAGAATTAACAGAATCCCCTGGTCGGATGTTCAGAGTTCAAGCTTTCACTCTAATCATAGATAAACTGCGGACTTGTCTTGCACAACGTAAAGAAGCTTATAGAGGACTAGCAGATGATTTTGCATTTCTAAAATGTTTCTCAGATCAAAACAAAGAGCATTTGCCAGCTAGAGTAAGCACACATCACATCAAAATACAGAGATGATTTTGATTCTAATTGTGCTGATGAATTTGAACACTTGTATAATTTTATGATCAGATTGAAAGAAAAAATGGATTCACCACTGTCGATGCTCAAGTTCATAAAACATCAGAATTTGGAAGCAACTTTTCCAAATGTCAGCATAGCTTTGAGAATATTTCTGTCATTGCATGTCACAGTGTGTGAAGAAGAACGCACCTTCTCAAAAATGAAAGTGGAGAAAAGTGAAAGGTGTGCTACTATGAGCCAAGATAAGCTGAACAGCCTTGCCACCATGTCCATTGAAAGCGATCTAACACATGTGATTGACTTTGAAGATGTGGTTTCTCAGTTTGCTGCAATGAAAGCTCGAAAGGCTAACTTTTAGTTAAATACATATAAAAAGTACTTCATATGGATACAGTTGTTTCTTCCAATAAATTAATTAAAATCAGACATTCTGATTACTACAAAATTGTCAGATTTTATTTTATTGAAAGGCAAATTGTTGTTTCTGAGTAATCTAAGTACGACTGCTGGTAATGAATGTATGCAACTTAAAATTTAAAGAGAAAACACCTAAAATGACCTTATAGTTTATTATTTTATAAGTTGAATTCACAAAAAAAATCATTAAATAAACTACCTTTATTTGAAATTTACAATGTCTTTTTTTTTTTCCTAAAAAAAAGTAGGGGGGATGAGGTAAGGGGGGCCCCTCTCGATAAAGTGCCCGGGGCTCTAGATTGTCTTGATGCGGCCCTGGGTTTTCTCCTGATAGTAACACTGGATAGACCAACCACCGACCGGCTAGTAAACTGATAAGTAGTTAAAATTATAAAAACAAAGACACATAATGTTTACTAAGAATAATTGTCGTTTACAACTTTTACACCAACATCGTGTACCATCTTATTTCAGATATGCTATTGTTTATACATTATTTTCTCTTTACTCGTTCTCTCATGTGGTTTGTTTACTGTTATTGATCGTCAAGTGGACTTTTATTACAGAAACACATGTGGCCTTGGGCTAAGACTAACATGATCGTCCACGACTCCTACACGTGCATGAAGTTCCAGGGATCGCTGCCCTTCCCCTCACAACGGGAGAACATCGCCTTCATCGGGATGCGAACCTACAGAGACAAGTATAAGAACGATGGTATCAGGAAGCCATGCCCAGTCCAGTGTAGGCCGCCTGACCACCAAGACTGGACGTACTGCTGACCACCAACACTAAGAGTACTTATAGTAATGTAAAAGGGGTTGGATGAATTTCCACAGCTCTGAAGATGAGCTAAAATTTGAATGGTTTAATTGGGTAAGCTAGTTTAGGTTAGGTTGGGGTACGTTGTTAAGTTAGGGTAGGTTATTAGGTTAAGTTAGGTTAGGTACGCTAGTTAGGTAGGTCATGGTCTAAGCTGGGGGGGGAGGAATCTTCAAGTAGTCTAGTTTTTTATGGTCTACTCCAAGGAAAACTTTCACACACCCACAACCAAACGCGCCGAGAGACTACTTGGCATAGTCGTAGATATTTCTTTCGCATAGACTGGATGTAAACTAGAGCATGAAAATAGGATGGAGCATAATGATAAGCAGTTCAAAGGTGTATATTATCCTTAGGGAGGTACAGTGACCTGCCCTATAGCCAAGACCACACACATACACTTCGTCACCGCCTTTGACAAAGTAATATCCAAGACCAGGGTGCTGACACATGCCCTTAATAAAAAGTTAGAAGCAAAACAATGATATCTTTTATATTTTTCCCGTAAAGTTTTCATTCAGTAAGCTTATAATGGCTCTGTCTGGGCTTTGGTTGTATCACCTTACTGTTTACCATTGTAAGCCAGCACTGTCTGGGCACATCACTGGGGAGTCTGGGGGCTAAAAGGAACCTCCTTTGTCATTGGAAAAAACGTTTTGTAAGCAAATATCCCCCATTGTAATATTCCTTCTGTCTAGCACCTAGATGTGTGGAAGGGGACGAGTGTGAGTGTGTGTCTGCAACGTACTGAACGTTTTTCTGTGACTTACTGAATGTTTGTAACTAGCTGAGCGTTTGTCTGTAACTTACTGAACGTTTGTCTGTAACTCGCTGAGCGCTTGTCTGTAATTAGCTGAGCGTTTGTGTATGACTGGCTGAGCGTTTGTGTATGACTGGCTGAGCGTTTGTGTATGACTGGCTGAGCGTTTGTGTATGACTGGCTGAGCGTTTGTGTATGACTGGCTGAGCGTTTGTGTATGACTGGCTGAGCGTTTGCCTGTGACTTACTGAGCGTTTGTGTATGACTAGCTGAGCGTTTGTGTATGACTGGCTGAATGCTTGTGTATGACTGGCTGAGCGTTTGCCTGTGACTTGCTGAGCGTTTGTGTATGACTGGCTGAGCGTTTGCCTGTGACTTGCTGAGCGTTTGTGTATAACTGGCTGTGAAAGTGTAAATCGACGTAGGATTTTTAATGCTAGACGCGATTGCATTTTTGAAAATTCAATCTCTACCGTGTTGGAGGTACTGTGGGGAACGAGATGTTGGTTCACACTCATGATGGGATGGAGAAAGGAAACTCACAATGTGCTCTCTGTATACATATTGTATTGGATGTACAGTGCAGCTTGGTGCTGGGAAGTGGCAGCGTGGTTACAAGCATGATGTAGAGAGAGCTGGTTGGTGAGGGTGCTCAGAGGAGGACCAGTTTGTGGGTCGCCATGCTCGCCGGTGGGAGCGAGGGCCGCCAGGCAGGAGGAGGAGGAGGTGTTGCTTGCTTGTTGGTGTAGGTAGAAAGAGAGGTAGGTCACCACGAGGTCAGGTCTTATATAGCGGAGGTAGGCGTGGCTTAATAGTTGACCTCCGTGATGTATGGCGGCGCTGGTTGACCTAGACCACTGGGGAATTCGCGGGGTCGGCTACTCAGCGACAAGCGTTTGCAGGGGAGGAATCCACTACAGTACAGCCCAGGTCAAGAGGCCTACAACCACAAAATCACTGTCATATGACAAAGCTTTCATTTTATTTTTTTTACGGAGTTGTGGTCACACCTGTGATAAAGGCCGACCAGGGAGTGTAGTACTGTGCCTTTAGTTAAATCAGTTCATAGTGTCATCAGTGACTGCGGAAGAGGTTGTAAATAACTTAAAGTGAATACAAATTGAAAGCAAGCTGGTAAGGCACCACTGCCGGCAGAAACCAAGTCGTGTTATAGGAGCCACAGAGACTTTAAATTTTATTTTGTTTGTGTGCTTTCTCGTGGACAGAAATTGTGCCTACAGGGTGTAAAATTAAATTAAAGGGTGGGGACTTACTTATTGTCGGGTGTATCTACAGATCCCCAAACTGTGGCCCACTAAATCAAAGGAACTTAAGAACCTTTATAGACAACGCGGCAATGCTCAACCCTAGCCACCTCCTTATCATGGGGGACTTTAACTATGGCGACATCGACTGGAGAAACGAGTCCACCCCAAATGACTTGAATAACCCTGCTACTCTTTTTGTAGAAACTCTGAGAGATAATTTTCTGTTCCAACAAGTTAGAGACCCAACACATTACAGAGGGGAGCAAATACCCAAGTCACTTGACCTCATCATAAACGAGGAGGGTATGGTGGTCAAACTGGAACACCTTGTCCCAGTTGGCACCAGTCACCATATAGTGTTGTCATTCAGAGTTAACTGTTACCTAGTTCAGGATAAGGCCAGGCCGAGGTGCAAATATTATAAGGGAAATTACAATGGGATGAGGGAAGAGATGAGAGGTATCAACTGGCCCGACTCATTAAGGTACAAGAAAGCAGGCACTACGCTGAATATCATAACTAGTAAAGTGACCCATTTGATCGATAAATATGTACCCAAGACCAAACCCAGTGCCTCTAAGAATACGAGGGGACACCTACACATGAACCATTCGGCGGTCGACAGAATTAAGAACAAAAACCAGAAATTCAAGACGTGGGTTGGGTCAAACGATGAGCAAGACAGGAGGGTGTATGCAAGCGCCAGAAACCAAGCAGAGATAGAGTGTAGGAGGTGCTGAAAAGGAGTTCCAGAGGCTGGTTGCAAGCGAGGTCAAGTCAAACCCAAAGGCTTTTACCGCTATGCAAAGTTTAAATTGAAAACGCGAGTAGGAGTATCAGACCTGAGGCTTGAGGATGGTAGTTATGCAGATTCTGACCAGGATAAAGCTGAGGCATTGAACAGCTTCTTTTCCTCGGTGTTCACAAGAGAGGATGCAATTAACCTTCCTGCATTTGAGGACAGACGGTTTGACACAGCACTGACCCACATTGTGTTCACAGAAGAATGGTATTAGAAATAAACTGTCCAGGCTAAAGGTCCATAAGAGTCCCGGCCCTGACATGGTGCATCCTAGAGTGCTAAGAGAGTTGTGCAACAAGCTTGCCGAGCCCCTGAAGATCCTGTTTTGTAAATGCCTGGATGAACAAATGGTCCTCAGTGAATGGAAAGTGGCTTATGTGAGTCCTATCTTCAAGAAGGGCGATCGTCACTCCACGAACAGCTATAAATCGGTGAGCCTGACCAACGTAATATGTAAAGTACTTAAGAGTATTATCAGAGATGACGCAATAGAACATCTAATACGAAACAACCTTGTAAAGGCTTTCCAACACGGTATGCCGGGGCGCTACTGCTTAACACAATTGCTCAAGGTATTGGATATTTGGACCCAAATTCTGGAACAGGGTGGTAATATCGAAAATATTTACCTAGATTTTGCCAAGGCTTTCGACAGTGTACCCCATGAAAGGCTGAAATTCAAACTGGAAGGGTATGGAATTCGGGGAAATGTCCTAGTGTGGATAGAAGACTTTCTACATGACCGCAAGCATTGTGTGGTGATTAATGGCACGAAATCGTCATCCGTACCTGTCACAAGTGGGGTACCACAGAGCAGTGTATTGGGTCCGCTGTTGTTTGTTTGTTTCATAAATGACATGCCTGACGTTGTACACTCCTCCATGAAAATGTTTGCCGATGACGCCAAGTTATTTTGGGAAATTAAGACCCAAGCGGACTGTGAAAAGCTGCAGAAGGACCTCTGTGGACTCCAGCCCGGGCGATCGGTCACGTCTCTGTCACGCACTGTTGGCAAGTACTGGGAATGCACCGGCTCCTGAATGTACCTAAACCCGCTCCAGTGTTGGTCAAGTCTTGTCTTGAAAGAGCTCACACTCGGTGCCGTCACAACACTCTCTGGTAGATTGTTCCAAGAGTTTACAACCTTCACTCTCAAAAAATTTGCCCTCACAGTTTTCTGGACTTGCGGCTTCTTCAATCTTGAGCTGTGACCCCTTGTGGGGCGAGCGTCCACCAGCTCCAAGTAAGGACACTCGACTGAGTAGTGCCCCCTGAGATGCTTATACACCTCAACTAGGTCACTCCTTGCCCGTCTGTAGTATAAGCTAGGCAAGTTCAGGCGCTCCAATCTCTCAGGGTATCTGAAGTGCCGAAGCGCAGGCACCAGTCTGTTGGCCCTCCTTTGAACATTTTCAACCAACTGAAAATCCGTAGCATATCTCGGGGACCAGACGGGGTGACAGTACTCCAGATGAGGAAGCACTTCACTCTTGAAGATCGTTACGAGGGACGAACCGTCTAAATATCTGAACGAACTTCTTATAAGACCCAATAATTTATTTGCCTGATTTACCTTCTTCTCGCAATGGCCCGAGAACTTCAGCTCATTGTCAACATACACACCTAGGTCCTTCTCACAGTCAGTCTCAAATAGTGCAGTTTCTTCATCCCGTTGGGACATATGATACGCCTCCTTACCGTTGGTACGCCCCAGGTGCATCCTCTTACACTTCGTGACATTCAATCTCAGCAGCCATTTCTTCGACCATTCCTGGAGCCCACAGAGGTCCTTCTGCAGCTCTTCACAGTCCGCTTGGTTCTTAATTTCCGGAATAACTTGGCGTCATCGGCAAACATTTGTATGGAGGAGTGTACAACGTCAGGCATGTCATTTATGAAACAAACAAACAATAGCGGACCCAATACACAGCTCTGTGGTACCCCGCTTGTGACAGGCACTGATGACGATGTCGTGCCATTAATCACCACACACTGCTTGCGGTCATGTAGAAAGTCTTCTATCCACACAAGGACATTTCCCCGACTTCCGTACCCTTCCAGTTTGATTTTCAGCCTTTCATGGGGTACACTGTCGAAAGCTTTGGCAAAATCTAGGTAAATATTGTCGATATTACCACCGCGTTCCAGAATATGGGTCCAAATATCCAATACCGTGAGCAATTGTGTTAAGCAGGAGCGCCCCGGCATAAAACTGTGTTGGCAATCCTTTACAAGGATGTTTCGAATTAAATGTTCCATTGCGGCATCTCTGATAATACTCTCAAGTACTTTACATATTATGCTGGGCAGGCTCACCGGTCTATAGTTGTTCGTGGAGTGACGATCGCCCTTCTTGAAGATAGGACTCACATAAGCCACTTTCCATTCACTGGGGACCATTTGTTCATCCAGGCATTTACAAAACAGGATCTTCAGGGGCTTGGCAAGCTCGTTGCTCAACTCTCTTAGCTCTCTAGGATGCACCATGTCAGGGCCGGGACTCTTATGGTCCTTTAGCCTGGACAGTTTATTTCTAATACCCTCTTCTGTGAACACAATGTGGGTCAGTGCTGTGTCGAACCGTGTGTCCTCAAACGCAGGAAGGTTAATCGCATCCTCTCTTGTGAACACAGAGAAAAAGAAGCTGTT